AAATTAAACACTATCTAAAGATTTGCATCGAAGCGTTTATTTTTGATAGTGATTTTAATCACTGTCAGATATCATTATACTTGATCCAACTATACCACGTCACAACTGTGCCGCGACCCCCCTGTGCTGGGTTTTTTATATTTGAAGCCCCTCCATATATAGGGAAATAGTCTGATTTAAAAAACAAGTATATCCAATGAAATATGTATATAAATACTACTTCTAATGAAAAAATTGTATTGATCCATACATTTTTTAAAAAGTTATAGCACTTTAAAGTAAAAAATGTCAATTATAAAATCGAAAATTTTCACACAAAAATAGCATTCGGTAGCCGTTTTCACGATGAACTCAAGTCCAGAGGTCAAATTTCTTTTTTTAAAATTAAAGTATATTACATTAGCTTTAATTTAAGATATATATAAAAGTGTCAGACCTTCCGAAACATTTTCAAAAGTTAAGTTGAAAAAGTTAATTTTTTGTGAAAAAGTTGTCATTTTAAATCTCCCCCTGTGGGCAGATAAGGTGTCANAAATATACCAAATGATAGGTAATGGCATGATGCATCTATAAAAAAAATAATTATATTGATATGTTTATTTTTAAAAAAGTTACGGCAGTTTAGTAAAAAAAATTGAAAAAATTTCGAAAATTAGCGATTTTTAAATTTGTAATTCTTTTGGTGGTTTCCCCCATTCTCGGGAAACCAGGGAAATTTTTTCAATTTTTGAGGGTAAGGTCTTTGACTAGATAAGATTTTTGATCTTGTGACGAAGCTAAATGATAATTTTTTGGNACTAGATAAGATTTTTGATCTTGTGACGTATCGTTGAAAGAAATCGGTTCGGCGAGAGCTGAGAAATAGTGGTAACAGACACAAAAAAAAAAAAAAATCATAGTAAAACCAATACCTTCTCAGCTTCGCATCGAAGCTAAAATATAAGTCGTGTTTGAGCTCAAAAAAATACAAAAAAAATTAATTGAAATATATTTTTTAATAGTAAAAGCTTTTTTTTACCGTCTTCTAAATAAGATTTTGCAGTTAAAATAATTTTTTTACAAACCAAAATTTTTTAATGAATTTTTGAAAATTAATTTTTTTTTTCATAATATAATTTTTAGTAATGAACATAATTTTGTAATTTATTTATTTTTTAATTTTTATTATTGAATTTTTATCCATATTTATATATCATATGGTAACAAATAATGTCTTTGAATTCCAAAAAATTATCATTTAGCTTCGTCACAAGATCAAAAATCTTATCTAGTCAAAGACCTTACCCTCAAAAATTGAAAAAATTTCCCTGGTTTCCCGAGAATGGGGGAAACCACCAAAAGAATTACAAATTTAAAAATCGCTAATTTTCGAAATTTTT